GCCGCAGCCTTTATATTCAAGATAACAATCCCAGCAGAGCAACGAAACCCAATATCCATCGGACTCCACAAACCCCTTTTCAAACATAAGATGCATACAAAGGAACTCTAGGATAAAAATAAAATTGACAAGTTCGAATACATTCACAGGTTTCTTGCTACCAAATGAACGATCTTCGGCCAGCTTTGGATTTGAGCCGAACCTCACACACATAGACACAAACGAGATTCATCAATTTTTGCTGCTTTGATTCAAAGTTTTCTATTAGGCATTTCTTCAAACACCGAATGGGCATCAAAAACATCATCGATTCGTGGCTCAATTTATGCTATAACCAGCCCCAAAATTTGTCACAACGCACAAATTTCAGTCCAAACAATCACAAAAAGCGTGTATGTTTCACAATCGTGTATAATCGACAAACACTGCAATGAACAAATTCACAAAACCAAATAACATGCTTTGAAAGATTCAAGAATCCATGCTTGGAAAGAAACTGAAATTTTAAAAGAAAGAGATAACTTACAAAGCTCATCCTCGGTGAAGATCCGCAGATGATGGTGACGGATATCTGATGAGGTGGTGGCAGCCCTTCCGTTTCTCGCAGCAGCTTGGCTCTAGTTTCTTGCCACAGCTTTCTTTCCTCGCCGAAGTATCCTCCTTTCCTCTGTTTTTTTTTCGTTTCTTTTCATCTGTTTTCTTGCTCTGTTCCTTAGCCGCGAACCCTCTCTCGGTTCCGTCCTCAGCCCTAACAAAACTCCTCCTCTTTTTGTTCGTTTCTCCTTTCTTTGCTCTGCGATGGAGCCCCCCTAGGCCCCTCTCTTTTCGTTCGATTCGTTTTCTGGTTTCTTGCTCCCCTCAACCGAGAGCCTCCTTCTCTGTTTTTATTCTTTTTTTTTGTTTCCCCTGGACGAAGCCCTCTTTTCATTTTTCTTTTGCTCTGTTTTTGAGCCGAAATCTCTCTCGGCTTTTTTACTTAACCCAGCCGCCGACAGATGCCCGCTTTCTCTTGCTTGGCTTCCTTTTTCATACCCTCGCCGCAGCCTCTTCTCCCCTCCTCCGGTTTTTCTCTTTTCCGTAACTCACCCCTCCTAGCCTTTTCAGACCCTAACCGCCACTTCCTTGGTCTCTCTCTCTTGCTCTCGGCTCTTTTCTTCTCAAACTCCGCCGTCAACTTTTGTTCCTCAGCCCCTCTTTCTCTTGTCCAGCCCTCAGAACTTTTCCTACATTTTCAGCCGTCATCCCCCCCATCTTGGTCATCCAAGTGTCTACCCCTTAATCCTTTAGGTGCCTTGTTGTCTAATACCTCAAAGGGACACTTGTCCCAATGCATGCTTGTCACTTGTAGTAATTTTTACTTTTCTTCTCTCTTTCCTTTTTTTTTCTTTTTTTTCTCTTTTCTTTTGTTTTTCTAAAATTCAGTATAAAGACAAAAATAAAATAAAAATAAACTAAAATAAAATAAAATAAACTAGAACAAAAATAAAATAAAAGCTCTAGAATTGAAGCCAATAAATCTATTAAATTAATTAAACAAATAAAGTTAAAAAATTAAAAATTTGGTGTCTACAGTTTGCCCCTCTTTGTCTGAGTTTTGGAAAAACTTGAGACAAAGAAGTAGACACCAAAATACTTACCTGCAAACTGGCTGCAAATTACTCGAGCGACTGACGCTTTTGAAAATGAGGACTGATCCCCTTTTAACAAAAAATTCTAAAATGGGACTGACCCAGACGAGAATTTTGAAATGGGACCGACCCGTACAAAAATTTAAAACGGAACTGACCCGAACAGAAAATTTAAAAGGGACTGGCCCGAACAGGAAATTTAAAAGGGGACTGACCCCAACATGAAAATAAAATCGGGACTGACCCCAACATGAAATTTAAAATCAGGGAACTGACCCCAACATGAAAATAAAATCGGGACTGACCCGAGGGGACTGACCCCAACAGAAATTTAAAAATCGGGACTGACCCGAGGGGACTGACCCCAACATAAAATTTAAAATCGGGACTGACCCGAGAGGACTGACCCCAACAGAAATTTAAAAATCGGGACTGACCCGAGGGGACTGACCCCAACATGAATTTAAAATCGGGACCGACCCGAGGGGACTGACCCCAACATGAAATTTAAAATCGTGGTATGCACACTAGTGGGACTGACCCATGTTTTTTTTTTTTTTGTTTTTAGCAAAAACCCGAACACGGGGGGGGGGGATGCCAGCCCCAACTATTATTGATAAAACAAATTAAAACAGAGAAAGGGAGCCACCTCCCCAATGTGAAGACTATGCGTACAAGAAACCTATCTTAACCCTCCTCGCTTACCCAACGAATCCCAGGCACACCACGTGAGTCCAGCAAAACTGAGGCCCGGACATTTGCCGGCAACTGCTGAATGTGGTCGTATTCCCGTACTCCTATAGCTCCAATACCCGCTAGCCTATCTGCCACCGAGTTAGCCTCACGGAACACATGCGCAATGGTGGCCGAGAACCTCTCCAAAAGTCTTCTAATCTTCCTCAAGCAATTACATAACGGCCACTTTGCAATGACCCCAGAGATAATCAACTGCACCAAGGTTTTAGAATCCACTTCCACCAACGACGGGCGAATGCCCCGTTGAGAACACAACTGCAAACCAAAAAGTAAAGCCAGACCTTCGGCCTCCAAAACATCATAATCCCCAAATTCTTTGTAAAAAGCAAAAACCATTTTTCCTTGATAATCTCGCACCAAGCCACCACCCATGGCCCTACCATGGTTGAAGCTGGCGTCCAAGTTGAATTTAAGCAAACCAACAGGCGGCTTCTCCCACATAATCGCTCTAGGGGCCCTCCGCCGCAGAGAGGCATTGACCTATCGCAGCAAGTCGTAATCGGCATCCCCCTTGAAATGCGACGGACGGAACAAATTAGCCCTCCCAAGCTGCTCCAAGAAAAAATCTATCTCTCGAATTACTCTGTCAGCCCCCCACCTGACACCTTGGAATCCCTCCTGGTTCCTTGCAGTCCAAAGAAACCAGCACACTACCACTGGCATGATCGTCCGAATATGGTCTTTTGAAGGGGCTGTTGCCGTCCTATACCAAGAAATAAAAACTGACGCCATGCCCGAGCAGTTGCCCAAACGAAACCCAAAACGGGAAGACACTTTCCGCCACACTTCCGAGGCAACTGGTCCATTTACAAAGACATGCAAAGGGGCCTCCTCCTCCTGGTAACAGCACCCACATCTAGATGGACAAGACCAGCCCCTCGACCGCAAAGTCAAATCCAAAGGTAAGAAATTGCGCACCAACCTCCAAGCAAGGAACGACATTTTCGTTGGCACCACCGAAGACCAAAGTAGCGATTCAACCAAAGAATGCTGTCTCTTTTGCCGGAGCACCTCCCATGCCGTCTTAACCGAGAAACAACCCGTGGGCGAAGGCAGCCAAACCATCCTATCTTTCTGAGATACGTCGAAAGGCATATCCTTGATAGCTTGAATGACAGAACTCGGCACCCATTGGGCCAGACGCAACTCATCCCAACCATCCTTAGTAATGAATTCCGAGACCAGGAAATGAGGACGCACAGGGTGAACCACCACTCGCTCCAATGGCTCATGAAGAACCCAACTATCTTTCCAAAAATCCACCAAACCTTCCCCTAAGCACCACCTAATGTTCGGCTCAACCATGGGGCGGATCGCCTGAAGACGCCTCCAAAGAGCCGTAGACCGCACTGCTGTAACTTCCGATGGATGGCACCCGTTGACGTACTTAGCGTGCATGAATTCAGCCCAAATAGAATTTCCCAGCCTGAATTGCCATCACAATTTTGCAGCGAAAGTGCGTGCCATGTCCTTGAAGGACCGGAAACCCAGACCCCCTTCATCGAATGGAAAACACAATTTCTCCCAGGAAGACCAATGAATGCGCCTCTCCCCGTTTTGGTCCCATAGAAAGGAATTACAAAGTATGCCCAACCTTGTGAGCACTGCCTTGGGAGGATCTAGCACCTGAAGTAAATACATGGGCAACGAAGCAAGGATATGCCGTGCTAAAACAAGCTTACCCCCAAAAGAGAGCAACTTATTACTCCAATGTTGAAGTCGAGTCCGCATTTTGGAAACAATACCATCGAACAAGATACCACGACACCGGCCTTTATAAATAGGAGCACCCAAATAAATGAAAGGGAAAGTGTGCCTGTTAAAACCCAGGACCGTATTTACCAGCTGCTCCTGCCCCGAAGAAACCCATGATGGCAAGAAAAAGGAACTCTTATTGACATTTACTCTCTGCCCTGATGCTTGTTGATATTCCGAAAGAAAAGCCTTGAGAGCAGACAAGCACGCCTCAGAACACCTCGTGAAAATAAGTATGTCATCAGCAAAGGCAAGGTACGGCACCGATGTCCCTGCCGAAACAAACCGCCTGCTTGGTTGACTATCCAGAAAATGGTGCAGCCCGCGCCCTAAAAATTCGGCAACTAACAAAAAGAGGCCAGGAGAAACCGGGTCACCCTGCCGAACACCCCTAGAGGACTTAAAAAATCCAGACGGTTCACCATTTACCAAAACAGAGAACCAATTATTAGACACCAGGCGAAAGATAATGTCTACCACAAATTCAGCAAACCCAAACTTCCGTAACATAAACAAAAGAAAAGGCCACTCGACCCTATCATACGCCTTTTCCATATCCAATTTAAGCATAAGATTCGGTTGCTTCAACCTCCTATCTAGATCTACCACCAGCTCCTGTGTAAGAAGAATGTTGTCCGTAATCTCCCGACCTGAGACAAAACCTGTCTGCCACGGAGATATTAAGACAGGGAGAACCTTACCCAACCGATCCGAGATGATCTTAGAAATAATTTTCGAGCAGACATTGCAAAGACTTATTGGCCGAAAATCCTTCCATTGTCCAGCTCCCTCAACCTTAGGCAGTAAAACGATAGAAGTGCTAGTGAAGCTCCTCGGCAGCCGCATACCCTGGAAAAAGGCCTAGACCGCCTCCAATAAATCAGTGTTAATAATATCCCAACAAACTTGATAAAAACCTGCCCCAAACCCATCCGGGCCCGGAGCACTGTCTGCTTCCAATGCAAAAACCACCCTCTTTAGTTCTTCCAATTCAGGCAAGGCACCTAACATGGCATTATCTGCCGAGGTTAATTGGGGAAGTGCAAAAGGAAGTCCTGGAGAGAGACAGCCGTGGTGGTCAGAAGCAAACAAGGAAGAGAAGAACTCCACTGCTGACCGTCTAATATCATGTATATCCTCCAACCATGCTCCAGACTGCTCCTTAATACGGGCCACAAAATTATAGCTTCGGCGCTGACGGCATCGAGAATGGAAGTACGCCGAATTAGCGTCCCCAACCTGCAACCATTTGATGCCCGCCTTCTGTCTCCAATACTCACATTCCCACGCCAAACTCCTTGCATATAACGATTTTGCCTCCTCCAAGGCAGCCCGAGAAGCAGAATCCCTCTCGTTATCAAACCGTGCTTCTCTTTGTTTCAAAACAGCCTCAGCCTCCTTCACTTTGTTAAAAATATTACCAAAGACCTGTACATTCCATGCTTGCAAACAACATTTTACTGCCCGCAATTTATTGTAAAATTTTGGCATACCCACCCCCTCCACGGGCATCGCCCAGCCCTGACGAACCACATCCATAAAACCTGTATGTCGCTGCCATACATTTAAAAATTTAAAAGAACTTTTCTGGTGGCTCGCACTATGGGCAGTAATCAACAGCGGAGCATGATCCGATCGTCCTCTGGACAAATGCGAAACATGAGAAAGCGCGTACCCATCAGCCCAATCCCGATTCATTAAAGCCCTATCCAATCTCTGCCACACTCTACCATTCGTCCATGTAAATAACGACCCATCAAAAGGCACCTCCTCCAAGCCACAGGTGCCAATAGCGGCATTAAATTCCTCCATGTTCCGTGCATTGGCCGGGGACCCTCCCGTACGCTCCTCCGCATTGGAAATGACATTGAAATCCCCTGCCACCAACCAAGGCCCCCTAACAGTACCCATCAATTCTTCCATAGCTGCCCACAGCTCACGTCGCCCAACCCTTGAGCACCGTGCATAAACGACCGAAAGTTGGATAGAGCATCCGGAAGGAAAGTTAATGCACATATGGAGTAGCTGCTCAGCCATTTCCCTGAAACACAATGACATCTCATTGCACCAAAACACCCATACTTTATTTTCCAATGCTGCCGCCGCTTTATCAAACCCTAGGAATCGACGTACCACCTCAAGCTGCGGCGTATCCGACATAGGTTCCAGAAGTACCACAAACCGTAGTGCATTAGCTTTGCAAATCTTTTGTAGATATCTTAGAGAATCCTTACGAGAAGCCCCACGTATGTTCCAAACAACCATCTTAACGGGATTTAACATGGGACCGCAGTGAATAATGATTTTGAGAAGGGAAAGAAACCTGATTGGAAGATGATTTAGCCGGCCGACCACCCTTGTGCCTAGCACCAAGCTGAACGTTACCCAAGGCGTCTTGCTGTTCAAGACGTGCAAACTGGACATCATCCAGCGTCCCTCCCGTTGCCTCCTGATCTGAAGATAACCGCTGCTGCAGAACCCTTTGGAACTCTTTTAGATGTGCCCACTGCGCTACCTCACCCGGTAGATCCCCTTCCGAGTATTGCCTTCTATGGGTCGGCCTAACTGCTGGAACATGTGTCTCAGACCGGGACGGAGTGTGCTCAAAATCTTGGAACTCTGTGTCTGATAAGGATCGCAGGACATCAAAGGTATTGGAGTATGAAACCTCCCCCTCGCCATCCCCAGCCTGCGTTGCTAACATATGAGACGACTGAACCTCAACTGCATTCGCCTCCCTCGAAGATGGCGCGGATACCTCAGCAGACCCAACCACAGCTATCGTGTCTCTCCCAAACGTTACACCACCACGAGTTTCTTCCGGCATTGAATGAACCCCAGCGTCTGCCACCACAAGCGCTAGACCTGGGTCATGGAGAATATGATCTGCCGCGTGACTATGCGCCGCCTGACCCATAGCAGCCGCAACCTCCGGCTCTGAATGAGTACTCACCTCAGGTTCCATACCCTGTTTGTCCGGTTTCTCCTGCTGTAGGAGCCCCAATGCAGACCCATTCTGACCAGTGATAGCTTTGGGCCTGTAAACCGACGTTGCCTTCACAGCCTTCCTACCTAAAGTTTTGGGAGGGATAAGATCTGGGTTCTTCCTGAAACATTCCCCAACTTCATGACCAAAACGAGTGCAGAACCCACAAAATTTCGGCCAGCTCTCGTACTCCACCTCCTGCCAGAAACCCTCCTGGTCCTCTCCAATCCATATACGATGCGGAGGAGTCACCGATACATCCATCTCAACCAAAACCCGCGCCACTGAAGGTCGCTTAAGCGCTAGTGTCGCCGAGTCAATCTTTAGATATCGTCCCAGCATGCCCGCCAATTTGGCTATGTATATCGTGTTGAACAAAGGCAACGGCAACGACGGCAAAGATACCCATACAGGTGCAAACGTCGAATCCTGATGGGCTTTAAAATCCAACGTCCACTTTGATACCAGCATCTGTGCCCCCTGTATGAACCATGAACGACGCACGAAAAGCCTTGTAAAATCCTCTTCAGATGACGGTCTGATGAGGACGTGATTCATATCGAGAAGACCGACATCACAATCGCCCTTGAGACCCAGCGATACGAAAAAATGCCTAATGACTTCCATAGGAGGTCGGCGGAACGGAAATCTGCCAACAAGTGCATTTTGGAACGGAGAAGAGAGTAGCTGTAACTCCTTCTGAGATAGTCGCAAAGCAGGTTCCCCTCTATGAGTTGAACAGCACCCCAGATCCGGAATATTCGCCTCCAACCGGCATGGGCCAGAGAGCACGTCTGCAAATGTTTTGGAAGGGCCTGCGCCACCCCCTGTAGCCGGCGGCGGCCACGGAGGACCCCCCATACACCCGGAAACCCTAGCAAAAGTTACCAAAAAAGGAAACCAGAATAGAGAGAAAAAACTAATTAGGGGGAGAGGATTTTTTTTTTATCTTAAAACTGACCCATGTTTAGTGGCAAAGACAATAAAATGCACGCTAATGGGACTGACCCATGTTTAGCGGCAATGAAAATGAAATGCTCACTGGTGGGACTAACCCACGCTCAATGGCAGTGAAAATGAAATGCTCTGACAATCGGTCAGTGGGATTAAACCCGAACCTGCCGTGATGAAAATTGATTTGATTTTTGATTTTTTTTGACTTTTTTGATTTTTTTTTTAAATTTTTTTTTTGACTTTTTGATTTGATTTTTGTTTTTTTTCCATTTGGGAGGATCTTCTCAAAATAATTTGCCCCAATTTCCACCAATTATTGTGCAGCTGATCATTTGATTTGCGTTACGGCATGGTTGCTCCTCCTTAAGGTCTCGATTCGCAAGATTCTGACTTATGCTTCTTCATCGATTTCAAGCCATGGATTCCTGCACAAAGGGTTTATCCAAGTACAACATGCACTTAAGTTTCTTGATGCATCTACTACTCATGAAAAGAGCAGTATGATTGACTTAAAAACGTCTTGCTTGACTCTTGGACGAAATCCTTAAATAGGTTACAAAAATTTTGCCCCAGTGTGGTGCGTTGTCATTTTCACTTGAAACTTTCCTTCGAAAATCGTGTAAACGTGAGTCTTCATGTGACCTTTCCAAATCTTATCATCCGTGATGTCCATTTTTGTTCGGCAAGCTGTTTTGACATCAAGCCACTTTGAGACTTTCAATTTCTGACATTCCATTGAAACAAACCTCTCTGTCTGGAATCAAGATGATTAACTGTTCGTTGTTTCATCATACTTTTCCAGGGATGAACAGATCCAAATGCTCTTTTGATTTGATCAGTTGGATGAATACCCGAGCCTGCCTTTATTTGGGTCAGTGGGATGAATCCTGAACCTACCTTTGATCATGGAATTTAGCAAAACAATTGATCACTGAAAACTTTTCTAGATTTTGACATTCCATTACCAAGTCCAAAACTGATACTCTCTTGTCCAATCCCAAACTTATCTCCAAGCTTTCTTGCTCTTTGCTGTGAGATCATCCATGACTTTCAACAGAAGCTGATCCTTAATGATTCCTGATGTTATCCTCTAATGCTAATCTGAGCAACCCACACTCCCATATTCTAAATTAGCATTCACAGACAATATTGCTGCTGGTGGAAGGCGACACAATTTTTTCATAAGCTGTGTTGTCAAGTCAAGCTTTCTTTTGGTGTTAAACATCAGCGATCCATCATCAATCTCACATCATCTTCGACCTTGTCAACAAGTCGATTTGCTGCTTTAGCCCACCTAATCTCCTCCATACTGATATTTTGAAGATCTTGGGAATCCTGTGACACTTCTTTGTGCCAGGGGTGAAGTTCATAAGTAGCACTCTCGCGCTTCTTCATCAATTTTCAGTTGTAAACGCCTGCGCAGGGAGCTTATCAAAGTACAACATCCAACTATTCCTCATGAAAAAGTAGTGTTATTGAAATTAAAAGTGTATTACTTGACTCTTGAGCAAAGTCCTCAAATGTGTTACAAAAATTTACCCCAGTGTGGGCTTATTTTCGTGAAATCTCACAAATAAAAATTTGCCCCAGTGTGGGCTCCCTTAATGGTAAAAATTTGTTCAGATGATTCCCCATTTATTTGAACAAAGAGAAATCGCACTTTCTAAAACTTAAAAAGTAATCATATGTACAATGTGAAGAAATTTGAACATTGAGTTTGAACTTATGCAGAAATTTCATGATGAATCTCTCAGAATAACACCAAATTATAGAAGATTTCTTCCTCACTTTTAGCATCTGTGCTTAGAGTAGCGGGTCACCACTTCTTGTTGGCTCATCTTTCAGGACCAATCAAGTGGGGCGTTATTTCTGATTTGGAAATGGGAGGTCAAGGTTTGTCTTATTCTTGTGCCCAAATTGTATGTAATCCTTTCAATATTATATCTTAATGAAAGCAAATAGTTTATCACCCTCATTTTTTAAGAAAATCTAGTCAACATATAAGCTGTAAGCTTGCAACATATGGGTAGAAACGATAGCTAAAACATGTGAAAACAGGTTATAGCCTTAAGATCACAGATGATTGATGGATTTCTCAGAAGTATAATTCTCACTTCGAGTTGTCATGAAGGATAAGTCAACGATGGATTTTATGGGTTTGTAGTGCGGCTTGAAGAAGATAGTTGAAGAATAAGACTTTCAAGGACGTTGCACCGAAGATCGTATTTTTCCGAAATTGCCCCTATTTTGAACTCAAAGATCGTAAATTTGGTGACTTCCATCATCACTTAACGGGGACTTCACCATCAAATCCTTTCATTTCCTTTGCATTTATTTTTTCTCTTTTCCTTTCCTTTTCCTCGACCTGGTGGGTTTTCTCATGGTGAGTAGCGTCAACCCCCATACCTAAGCAATTCAGAAATACAGCTAAAATTTTTCGGCATCAGAAATTTTCTTGACAGGGCCATTGCAAAGAACAGAAGTCAGGACTTTCAGCTTTTGTAATAGGGTCAGGTGGGATGCTTAGAAAAGTTAAGGCTTGAAAGTAGATTACTTAAAAGTGGTTCAAATGATATGAGATCGCATTATTATATCAACCTTTCTTTAGGGTTAAATCATAACTCGCCCCAGTTTATTCGCAATTGAGGGTCCTCTTCTTTCATTTTTCTCTTTTTTTTTCTTCAAAATTTGCCCCGGTTCATGTTCAACTGAGGTTCTCTTTTCTTCTTTTGTCTTTTGATTTTGTTGCCTTATCACTTTTCACCTTTTGAAACTTTTCTTCTTTTTCAACTCAAAAATGCCCCAGTATGGGGTTTGCGATTCTCAGGGGTTGCCAAACGAAGTAATTTATTCTGAAGGCTCAAAAGGGATAACTAGGGATATAATGTTTGATTGGAAAAGAAGAGGGCCTGACTTTTAATCCGTTCCTTACATTAACTCTGAAAGGAAAATTTTCATTAATATGAAATTTTTTTGCATGCATCCGAATTAATTCACTGAGTATGACTCTCGTACATTCATATCTGTGAAGTATAGGTGATTTTCCAGACACTCCTCCTTCTTCTTTTCCAAAATTGAAGCCCAAATATTAATGGTAGGATCAAATTTTCTATTTAGGGTTCTCTCTTTTGGTTCAGCATTTTTACCTTTCCCTTTTCTTTTTGGAAAATTCTTCAATCTCCTTCCCCAATGTGGGGTGCGATCATAAGTGCTTTGAAAAAAACCACCGATTTTAGGTCAAATGAGGATGCAAGGGGTAAAACAGTGTTTAGGTTGTAGAAACGACGGCTAAAGCATCATTCTTATGCTTCATGACAACCAAAGT